TAACAACTTCCCATTGCCTTAAGGATAAAACCCAAATTCCTTAACCTGGCACTTCAAGCACCCATCTGCTCACCCTGACTTCCCTCATGTCCCTGTATCTACCACAGGACCTTACACTGCAGCCATCTGGCCTTTGTGCCACGTTCCTTCTGTCCATATACTTGTTCCTTCTTGTTCATCTCTGTCTTCCCCTCTCCCCTTCTACCTGAGCTAATTTCTACTCTTTCTTTAAAATTCAGCACAAACGCCACCTCCTCCCAGAAGCTTTCCCTGAGCAACCTTGTTACCAGCACTGTTGGACACACACCCCCACCCCCACCCCCCCGCCGCCCTGGGCTCACACAGGCTCACACAGCACACCTGTTCCACTGTTCTCCCACCCTGTGATGCATGCCCAGGTGCTCCAGCAGAAAGCCACCTGTCGTCAGCCACATCACAGCACTTTCCCACACCGATCTCTGTTTACTTTTCTAACTCCCCTGCCTCCTCCGGGCTGGCAGAGCCTGACTTTTTATTTTACAACACTTTCAGATTTACAGCAGAACTGTAAAGCTAGTCCAGAGCGTTCCCGTAAATGCCACACTGAGTTTCCCCGATTATTAACATCTGACATTGGACTGGCACATTTATACAATTAGTGAGTGGTGCTGACGCATTGTTATCTGAAGTTCACATTTTGGTCGTATTTCCTTGCCTTTTTCCTAATGTCCTTCTTCTACTCCAGGACATATTACATTTAGTTGTCCCATGTCCTTAGGCTCTTCTTGGTGTGACAGTTTCTCAGACTTTCCTTGGTTTTGGTGACCTTGATAGCCTTAAGGAGGACTGGATAGTTTTTGTAGAATATCCTTCTATTTGGATTTGTCTGATGTTTTTCTCGTTGGTCTTAAGGGAGACACAGAGATGCAAAGTGGCATTTTCATCACATCATATCCAGGGTACATACTATCCAACATGACCTATCACTGTTGATGTTGACCAGGATCACCTGGCCTACGTAGTGTTTGACAGGTTTCCCTCATTTTCATATTGTACTCTTTGGAAGGAAGTAACTCCATAGAGCCCACACTTACAGAATAGGGAGCTATGATCCACCTCCTGAGGGCAGAATAGTTACATAAATCGTTTGATATTCTTCCACATGGCAGATTTATCTCTTCACTCCCATTTGTTTGTTTATTCAATCAGTTATTTGCACCCATATGGATCATTTATTTTTTAATCTCTGTTCCCACAGCACCTATCACAGAGTGTAGCAGTTAGTAAATTCTCGGTAATGTTTGTTGAGAGAACAAAGGCATTATAAATCGACTATGTCCTCCCACAATTCCCATGTTGCATCCCTAACCCCTAGTGCCATAGAATGTGACTGCATCTGGAGTTACGGCCTTTCAATGGGTGCTTCAGGGCAAATGAGGGCTTTGAGAAGGGCTCTAATCCAGTATGACTGGTGACCCTTTAAGAAAAGGAAGAGACCCCAGGGGTTCATGTTCACAGGGGAAAAGACCATGGGAGGGCCCAGAAAGTAGATTCCTATCTGCAAGCCAAGGCATCTTGACCTGAACCATGAGAACCACGAGAAAGTTTTTGTTGTTGAAACCCTTCAGGTTCTGGTATTTTCTTTATGGCAACTCTAGCAGACTAATACAGAGGGGAAGCACAGGGCCAAGACTTTGCAGATCAGTTCAGAATATGTCATAGGGGCTCACTTGCAGCTCCTGGGCTCCTGAGGAGGGAAACTCCTTTGGAATACTCCTGCTCCTCCAGGAGTTGTTGTTCATTAAATATCTGAATCAATGGGTTATTTCAGTTATGATACATGGCTTTTGTGGAAATGTAGAGGGGGGAAAGTCTACTAGAAATCCCTTTTATTCGTCATATGACTCAACCAGAGAGGAAGGTACCAGAAGATTGCGAGGTGCCAGGAGGGTGTGAAGTTTATTGGACCCTCACAAGGCCATCCTCTCCTTTGGGATCCACACACTCACTACCAGATGTACTATTTCCAGAGGAGGAAAAGAAGGGATCAGAGGAACAGTTGTTACTAAAGCAAAGGGGCAAGCCAGAAAAGCTGTTTTCTTTCTTCCAGAACAAATTCCTCACCTAGAAAATAAGAGGTTTTCACTACATAACCACTGACCTGTAACTCACACATGGTCCTAAGCACCTGATACTGTCTTACACCACAGTCCTCAGGACAACCTTAAAAGACACTGTTATTATCCTTATTTCCCAGAGAAGGGAACAGACAGACCAAGGAACTTGCACAGGGTTACACAGCAAATCAGTTGTCGGATTTGAACCCAGCAGAGTGATTTCAAAGTATGCAGTTAACAACCATGATCTGCTTCTTAATCAAGGAAAGCAGGTCTCCCAGGTTCCTGACACACAGAATACACAAAAAGACTAAGCAACTCTCAAGACCTGGACATGATCCAGGGTGAGTGTCCAAAACCAATGTTGCAACAAGTTACCTATAACCCCTAAAGTGACTGTCTTGCTGCTAAGCTTGCATCAGAGCTGGGGCGAATGCTGCCCTGTGGTTCAGTATAAAGTGTAAAGACCTCTGTGCCAGGATTAAAGTCCAGTAAACACACACACACACACACACACGACCATTTTTAAAAACAGGGAGCATGTGCAGTGCGGAACAGAGGTTGGTCACATTTCCAAAGCTCCAACCTCAGTAACCCTGAGACGAGAATTTCAAGAGATTTTTGCAATCTTGTGTGGTTTTCCAACAAGAAGGAACTGGATGAAGAGCTGCCTGTCTTCTTGTGCTGCAAATGTCCTTGGGAGGTGTACCCAGTGGCGTGAGCCTGAACACCATAGGCTCTGGGCCTTTCTCTTTTCTAAGTTAAAAGGTTAAAAAATAACCGTTGTTTCCATCCATCCCTAGAATTACACTTTCCAGAGAAGTCTAGGTCCCTTTCCCGGTAGATATAATCCTAATTAAAAATAAATTACATGCTGTATAGAACTTGAAATAGAAAAGATAATCCTATTACGTATGAGAATATATCCTGATTTTCCTTTCCCGCTAAACTGTGGGAGATATCAGATCGGGCTGAGCCCCCATTGTCGCCGCTTTGAAAACTTTGCGGGAGCCCTAATCCGTCACGTGACGCAGTGTCGCTCGGTGTCTTCTGCACGCGAGCTTCACAAAGCCCGCATTAGGCTCGGTGACGGACACCCGGCCCGCCGCGGCCCGCAGCATTTGCATTCCGAGGAATAGCCGGCCATTGTGGAGCTGCGTTTGTTCTCAGGATGGCGAGACAGTTGCAGGCGAAGTTGCAAACGCCAAGAGAAAGGGCTTACTCTGGGCCCGCCCGAGCCTTTTGGTATGATAACAAGGCGATTTAGCGGCTTTTGTGCGGTAGGATCCGCGCCCCTCCCGCAACTCGGCTCCAGCCACACCTCCCCGACCTGTCTTCCTCCCCCGGGAGCAGCCGCGGACCCGGACGCGCTGTTTTAAAGCATATTTCCCTAATCTGGTGGCTGCGGGCGGCTGCTCGCGTGCCTTCACACCTCCTCGGCCGGCTCTGGGAGACCCCTGAGCGCCGGCCGCCGCGGTGCTCCCGGTTCCCAGCCTCCCGGCGCCGCCGCTGTCGTCGCCACTTCCGAGCGGCAGAGGACCTGCGGCTTGCAGCTCCACGCCGGTCCCCCAGCCTCCTGGCTTTTGCCTGCCCGCCCCCCGCCCCCGCCTTCTCCCGAGCCACGCACGCTTTCGTCTATTTCAGCTCCAGAAGGAGCGTGCTGACGCAGAAACGCCCTGAGTCAAAGAACGGGTAGCTCCGCGTTCTCCAGCCCGGGGGGGGGGGGGGGGGGGACTTAATGAGCAGGGAGCTGGGTCAGTCCAGAACGGCGGAGTGCGGAGGCGCAGGCCGCACAGGGTCCGACAGCCAGCCACTCGCGGTCGTGCTCCGGTCAGGTGCCTGTCCTCGAAAACAGCTGAGAGCACCCTAGTCCTGCGACTCAAGCCCCACTGCCCCCGCCCAGGCCCCTACCCTTGCCCCTACTGGGGTTCTACCCCCAGGCCCCGCAGCGCCGAGCCGGCCGGGTAGCCTCGGGTTCCGTGAACGGAAGCGAGGAAGCCGCTGTCTACCAGCCGAGTTCTGAATTTGTCCTCGACTGGGCCTGCGGTGAAGACGGGTGGAGAGGGAAGGCGCAAGTCTGGCAGCGTCGAAGGTCGACGGCGAGTCCCAGGCTAGCGTGAGGGTATTATGGGTCTCGAAAAAAGGAAGAAAAGTTCTCTTGGCTGCCTTTACCGTCCCCCACACCCGCCCCACAGTTGTCTCGGGCCGGGCCGGGCCGGGCCGGGCCGGGCCGGGGAAAGGACGAGGTATGTATTTTGACACTTGGGAAGGGGAGATAGCGCAAGAGAAGGCTGGAGATGGGGCTCCTGTAGGGGGCGCTGCCCTCTTCGTGTCCCTGAGCGGCTGCAGACGCCCGGTTTCCTCGCTTTTCACCTTCCTAGGGCTGTAAAGTGGAGAAGGCAGGGACAGGAACCGAGAAAGACATGAGCCCTCCCCCTCAGTAAGCCTCCAAGCTACCCACTGTCCCTCGTCCCCAGCCTCATAGGCGTTTTTATTTATTGACGGTTAGGTCTGCATTTTCTGCACTCTGGCAACCCTGAGCATTCCCTCTAGCCTCCCAGCTCCCTGCCTGGTTCCCCAATTCTGGGGGAACTCCTTATCCTCCCCCTCGAAAGACGGCGAAATGCAAGCCCTCAAGTTTGAGGGACAGGAAAACACCGACCAGACGCTGGCGGAAAGGCCAAAGTCACGATTCGGAAGGATTTTGACTGAATGCATTCTGCTACTCAAACCCATCGCCTTCTTGAAAAATTTCTTCCAGTGTGACTGGTGTTTTTCAGTTCTCCTCCTCCTCGTGTATTTACATAGCCGGCTCAGAAAAGCCCTCAAGAAGCACCTGTGAGAATCTGCTTTGTTGCGGAGGGAAGCCCCATCCCCTGGCCTTCGGGGACCGCAGAGAGGTACCTGTGGGGGCAACACGGTGCCTGACCAGCCCCAGGGCTCGCCCAGCCCAGAGCGAGGCGGTGGCGAAGCTCCACACTTCCGTAGGCAGATGGTTAAGTTCCCCCAGGTTCGTGCCAGGTTTCAACGTCATGCTGTGATTTTGTTCTTTTGGAACGGGACGAGTGTTGCTTCCCAGAGCGGCCCTATTAGCACAGAAAGAAAATCCTCTAAATAGGCGGAACAAGGCATCAGGAGGGAAAGTTCTCTAAATGCACTTTAATACGAGCTGGGTATTGTGCGGAATTCAGCGCCCATCACCGTTTAGCCAGAGAGTTATGGCAGTGATTGGGGATGAATAGAGGAACATAATGGATACATGTGGCGTTTGCTCATTATATTCAAGTTAGCCCGACTCCGCTGTGGAAACTGTTCAACTTTCTCTCCCCTTAGCTTGTCACAGGGAAATAATACAGACATTGCGGCCTCCAATGGGATCGCCTGCCACGCCATTCTATTTCCACTGCTAACGAGGGCTTCATAAGCTTTTGATACAGTCTGATCTTTGAAACCTTTCCAAATCTCCTCAAGCTTATGCTAAATCCTATTTGGAACTTTTTTTTTTTTTTCTTTTTCCCCTTGGCTGCTAGCGCCCTGAGCTTAAGAAAGCCATTTGGACGGTGACATGCATACTAACATACCGTAGGGCTCTTCTCTGAAAGCAAGTGGCAGCTCTGATCACCGGGGCTCACACGAGCGAAACACAATTGCGTACACAAATTTGAATAAAATCAATTTTCCCTTATCCTTCGGGCTGCTTCACCGAGAGGCTGGTGATTCTGGGGCGCCGTGGGAAGCAACAAGAAGCGGCGAGCAGAGCTTCGCTCCTCAGAGCAGGTCCGTAGGGATCGGACTGCGAGTTTGCAAAACGCGCACAGCGCGGGTCGGGGTGGGGGAAGTGCCGGGAACCCAGCGCCCCTGGGGCGCAACCCCCGCACGTTTGAGCCTTAGTTCCTGCAGCCGGCACCCGGTTGCGGGCAGAGGGCGCACAGTAACAAAGCCCAGCCGCTCTTCGTTACTCCCGGAGCCCTGACATGCAGCGTGCTGACAGGAAAGGGGAGGAAAGAGCAAAAGGAGCTAAAGAAACAAAGGAAAGATTCCCTAATTTTCCGTTTTTGTTTTCCCCTCTCTAAGTCCTTTCCACATTAAAGGGATTGTCTGACGCTGGCGGAGGAGCGGCGCGAGGGTGAGGCGGCTATTGGCTGCCCGGCTCGGGCGATTTGCATATCGGTGGCTATAAAGGCGGAGGCGGCGCACGGCAGCACAGCTCCTGCGAGGTGGAGAGAGGGAGAGGCGCTGGGGAGGGCGGGTCCGTGCGTCCCTGGAGCTCGCTGGAGCCTCTGAGCTGTAGCCCGCAGATTTCTCCTGCACAAGGTTCGTAGAGAGCGCGCTCCCGGGAGCCTGGGACTCACGCCGGGACCTGCAAACCAGAGAGAGCTCTCTTCCGAAGCCTTTCGGAATAGCACTTGGGGACTGACGGCATGAGTCCTGCACCGCGCGGGGGCAGACCCCGCCTTTTCCCTTTGCAGCTCTTCAGCCTCTGCTGGGTGCTGTCAGTGGCCCAGAGCAAAACTGTCCGATACAGCACCTTCGAGGAGGACGCCCCCGGTACGGTCATCGGGACCCTCGCCGAGGACCTGCACATGAAAGTGTCTGGAGACACTAGCTTCCGCCTGATGAAGCAATTCAACAGCTCTCTGCTCCGGGTCCGCGAGGGCGACGGGCAGCTGACCGTCGGGGACGCAGGCCTCGACAGAGAGCGGCTGTGCGGCCAGGCCCCGCAATGCGTGTTGGCCTTCGACGTAGTCAGCTTCTCGCAGGAGCAGTTCCGGCTGGTGCACGTAGAGGTGGAGGTGAGGGACGTCAACGACCACGCGCCGCGCTTCCCCCGAGCCCAGATCCCCGTGGAGGTGTCCGAGGGCGCGGCCGTGGGCACGCGCATCCCCCTGGAGGTGCCGGTGGATGAGGACGTGGGAGCTAACGGGCTGCAGAGCGTGCGCCTGGCCGAACCGCACAGCCCCTTCCGCGTGGAGTTGCAGACGCGCGCGGACGGCGCCCAGTGCGCCGATCTGGTGCTGTTGCAGGAGCTGGACCGCGAAAGCCAGGCCGCCTACAACCTGGAGCTGGTGGCCCAGGACGGAGGCCGCCCGCCGCGCTCTGCCACAGCCGCCCTCACCGTGCGTGTGCTGGACGCCAACGACCATAGCCCGGCCTTCCCACAGGGCGCCGTGGCCGAGGTGGAGCTGGCGGAGGACGCGCCCGTGGGCTCTCTGCTGCTGGACCTGGACGCGGCCGACCCGGACGAGGGCCCCAACGGCGACGTGGTGTTCGCCTTCGGCGCCCGCACTCCGCCCGAGGCGCGGCGCCTGTTCCGGCTCGACCCTCGTTCAGGCCGCCTCACTCTAGCAGGGCCCGTGGACTATGAGCGCCAGGACACCTACGAGCTGGACGTGCGAGCCCAGGATCGCGGCCCTGGGCCACGTGCCTCCACCTGCAAGGTCATCGTTCGCATCCGCGATGTCAACGACAACCCGCCGGACATCGCCATTACCCCACTGGCCGCCCCGGGGGCTCCAGCAGCCTCGCCCTTCGCGGCCGCCGCCGCTGCAGCCCTCGGAGGAACGGACGCGACCTCATCAGCAGGGCCTGGGACGCCCGAGGCCGGCACCACCTCTGTGGTGCCGGAGGGGGCGGCGCGCGAGAGCCTGGTGGCTCTGGTCAGCACCTCGGACAGGGACTCAGGGGCCAACGGGCAGGTGCGCTGCGCCCTCTACGGGCACGAGCACTTCCGGCTGCAGCCGGCGTACGCGGGCAGCTACCTGGTGGTGACCGCGGCGTCGCTAGACCGCGAGCGCATCGCCGAGTACAACCTGACGCTGGTGGCCGAGGACCGCGGCTCGCCCCCGCTGCGCACCGTGAGGCCCTACACGGTGCGCGTGGGCGACGAGAACGACAATGCGCCGGTCTTCACGCGGCCAGTCTACGAGGTGTCCGTCCGCGAGAACAACCCGCCGGGTGCCTACCTGGCCACCGTCGCCGCTCGGGACCCGGACCTGGGCCGCAACGGTCAAGTCACCTACAGGCTGCTGGACGCCGAGGTGGGCCGCGCTGGAGGCGCTGTGTCCACCTATGTTTCAGTGGACCCAGCTACCGGGGCCATCTACGCGCTGCGCAGCTTCGACTATGAGACGCTGCACCAGCTCGACGTGCGCATCCAAGCGAGCGACGGTGGCTCCCCTCAGCTTTCCAGCAGCGCCCTGGTGCAAGTGCGGGTGCTGGACCAGAATGACCACGCGCCAGTCCTGGTTCACCCAGCACCAGCCAACGGCTCCCTGGAAGTGGCTGTCCCCGGGCGCACCGCAAGGGACACAGCTATAGCGCGCGTGCAGGCCCGGGATGCGGACGAGGGCGTCAATGGAGAGCTGGCATTCGACCTGCAGCAGCAGGAGCCCCGCGAAGCCTTCGCCATTGGCCGCCGCACGGGGGAGATCGTGCTTACCGGCGACCTCTCCCAAGAACCTCCAGGCAGCGTATTTCGGGCGCTGCTGGTCATATCCGACGGCGGCCGCCCCCCTCTCACCGCCACCGCAACTGTTAGTTTCGTGGTAACAGCAGGCGGCGGGCGTGGGTCAGCTGCGCCTGCCAGTGCCGGAACCCCGGAGCGCTCCCGCCCACCAGGCTCTCGCCTCGGGGCGTCGGGGCCAGCGCTGCAATGGGACACGCCGCTGATCGTGATCATCGTGTTGGCCGGGAGCTGCACGCTGCTGCTGGCCGCCATCATCGCCATCGCCACCACCTGCAACCGCCGCAAGAAGGAGGTGCGCAAAGGGGGGACCCTCCGGGAAGAGCGGCCCGGGGCGGCGGGCGGCGGAGCCTCGGCTCCCGGCTCCCCGGAGGAGGCCGCCCGGGGAGCCGGGCCCAGGCCCAACATGTTCGACGTGCTCACCTTCCCCGGCAGCGCCAAAGCGCCCTTTGGCAGCCCCGCGGCCGACGCGCCCCCGCCCGCGGTCGCCGCGGCCGAAGTGCCGGGCTCGGAGGGCGGCAGCGCCACTGGGGAAAGCGCCTGTCACTTCGAGGGGCAGCAGCGGCTCCGCGGCGCGCACGCCGAGGTGAGGCCTTCCTTCGCCTGGGCGCCCCACTCCGTGCTCCGCGTACAGGCTGGGGGAAGGGAGACTGGAGGGGTAGGGTGGGCACGCTCGGGGAGACGCTTAACCGGTCGCACTTGTTCTTTTGTTTCTTGCCCTACCCCTCCTTCCCTGCTGCAGCCCTATGGTGCCTCTCCCGGCTTCGGAAAGGAGCCGGCGCCCTCTGTGGCCGTCTGGAAAGGACACTCATTCAACACCATCTCCGGCCGCGAAGCTGAGAAGTTCAGCGGCAAAGACAGTGGCAAAGGGGACAGTGATTTCAACGACAGCGATTCCGACATCAGCGGGGACGCTCTGAAAAAGGATCTCATCAACCACATGCAGAGTGGTGAGGACTCTCCTTCCCCGCCCTCCCCTTGGACCCTGCCAACCAGGGTCCCAGGCCCCCCCCCCCCCCCCCCCCCCGCCTCCTCTTCCCCTCCATTTTTCACTCGTCCATTCTGCAGTGAATTCCAAAGTGCCAAGTGGAGGCAGTTGCGCCCCTTGAATCCAGCACGGCCCGATCTGCTTAAGCAGAAGCACAGATGAGATGCTAGTGGTCTGGGAAGAGAAGTCAGCGAGAGAAAACCGGGCCAGCTTCCTCCTAATAAGGCGACTTTACAGGAAGCAGCGTGCCTTGTAATTCCTGACTCACTTGGTTCTTCTACATACCAGCTTTCCTTTTCAGCTGCCCTGATCCAGGCTGACCTCCTGAAGGTGGAGGTTTAGGAGCGTGTGGTCTCGGGAATAATCATGATCTCTCCCTTTTGTGTTAGGCCTATGGGCGTGCACTGCGGAGTGTAAGATCCTGGGCCACTCTGACCGCTGCTGGAGCCCATCTTGTGCTGGACCGAATGCGCATCCCTCGCCTCAACCTCCAGCGCAGATGTCAACCTTCTGTAAGAGCACGTCTCTGCCCCGGGATCCTCTGCGCAGGGACAACTACTACCAGGCCCAGCTGCCCAAGACTGTAGGGCTGCAGAGCGTCTACGAGAAAGTGCTGCACAGAGACTATGACAGGACAGTCACTCTGCTCTCCCCACCCCGCCCAGGGAGGCTCCCAGACCTGCAGGAGATCGGGGTACCCCTGTACCAGTCCCCCCCTGGCAGGTACCTGTCCCCAAAGAAGGGCAGCAATGAAAATGTGTAACCCCACACTGCATGTCTTCACGCATACACAGGTCACTCCGAGAAGCCCCTAAGTTATTGACCGGTTTCAGTGTTGTATATATAAATATGCAAGATGTGCCTTAAAATGAAGTTGTTGGAAGCTATTTCCAATCACATTGGTACTGTTTGGTATTTGCAAACAAAAATGTAGTTAATGTAATTTTTATGAAATGTGTGCAGTATTTAATTTTTCTTATCATGCTACTGACTTTAATTTCACTTGCAGCTTGCCATTTTCTTAGTGTTTTTAACCTGTACATTGTGTAATGTAATGTTTGTATATAATGAAATTTTGTTATATTTTTATATAATAAAAGCTAAAGTGAAAGTTATTGCCAAAGGAACTGTCTGTAAGACAAAAAACAAAACATGTTGGAATCACTTACTGGAAAATTATCACCTGAAACAACCTAGTGTTTGAAAAGTTTTGCCTTGCCAAGTATACCTTGTATACCTTGAGTCTGTGGTAGATTTCAAGTTCAATGTTATTTAATTACATTTGGTTTTCTGTAAACCGTGTCACTTATAAGCACAGTAATAAAGGATTTGTCATGTGTTTGAAGCATCTGCTAATTGCTTTTCATGAAGTTGCCTATAGTCAGACATTCACAAATTATTTCAGTGCCAGAATTAAACTTGCAAGTGCCAATTATTTTAAGTATTATGCCTGTTTGTGGCAGCATTAAGCCTGTGGGATTTCAAGTATTGCAAAGTCTCATGCAAGTATTAAAAAATCTGCTGTTTTTTAAAAATATGCACATCTCCATATATATTGGACACTCTATAAAATTCCCATCCTCATTTATTTACTCAACACATATTTATTGAGTAGCTACCAAAAAGTAGAGGAAAGCTAAGCCTGGGTTGTTCATTTACTAATTAAACCTCTGTAGAGGATTTATTTTGTTGCTAGTAACTCTCCTTTGAACTAGGCTCCAAGGTAAAGAAGATATGGTCCCAAGGAGCTCTC